CCACACTCCGGCTCCTCGCTCCAGCCTGGCAYGTCCGTCCGGAGCCAGGCGCCGTCTGGGGCTGCCGGGTCCCCACAGCCAGTCTGCCAGCAGGGAGGGAGCTTAAGCCTCCGCGGAGCAGCTGGGAGACTGCCCTGGTCTCCGTGGAATTAAGTGACAGGCGGAAAGATGTGTCCCTGGGGGAACAGGGCAGGGGCACTCCTGGTCTCGAGCCCGTCTCGGGACCTGTGGAGAAGCCCGTGTTGGCCGGACGCCTGTTCCGGAACGTGCTGTGTGCGCCAAGGACATGAACTGAGTGGGCACTGTCCCTGCTCCCAGGCCTGCAGTCAAGGTGGGCGTGGACACAGCCCAGGGCCAGGGAGGGAGGGAGCAGAGGAATCACTGGCCAGGGGCCTGTGGAGCCAGGCTGTGCCCGCACCAGGCACTCGGGCATCGAGCAGGGCAAGGGGATCCCTCTCTCTCCCGACTGCTGCATGGGCCACACTCCCTCTGTGTGGCCTGGGCCCCACACGCCCGGCCCAGGCCAGCTGCCCAGCCTCTGGCCGTGCTGCCCACTGCCTGATGGCTCACACACCTAGGACACCCTATCCCCTTCCACAGCCACAGCACGGCCTACTCTGACCCTCTGCTGCAGAGACCCTGCCCTCTCCTCCTGGCTGGGCCCCTGGAGGCTGAGTCACAGAGGAGCTGGCACCGCCTCCTTACCTCCCGCCTCACTCCGTGTCCCTTCCTGGGCCTCGTGACCAGGTGGCCAACCCACCTGATGTGAGGCTCGATGGTCCTAGAGTGTCCGTGGTGTCACGTGCTCACGCTGCTCTGCCACCGTCATGCCCGCCCCTCTGGAGCCTCCTCCTACTGCACAGCTGCCGTCTGCACCCCCCAACAGGCCCCTCGGCCCCCTCTGGCTCCACTCGGCCTCCTCCCTGTGGATCTGACTCCCTGGCCACCTGCGCAGTGGGCTTCCACGGCCTCTGTCCTTTGTGGCTGCCAGTCACTTGGCGTGATCTCAGGGTCCTCTCAGCAGGAGTGKTTACCCCTCTTCCCTTCTCCACCCTTCATCCGTGTCCGTGGGTGGACACGTGGGTGGCTTGCACCTCGGTCCAGTGTGAGTTCTGCTGCTACGACCTGGGAGTACAGATGCCTTGGAGACCTGCTCCCAGGTCTGGGGCCCCAAGCCCTTTCTTCTCCTCACCTAAGAGCGAGGCTGTGACTTACCCGGACACTTTGTTCTATTGTCATGGTTTCGTTACAAAACAAACATTTGCTTTTTATAAGAAATTTAAGTCTTATGGAAATAAATACAGGTTGAGAATCCCTGGTCTGAAAACTCGAAATCTGAGATGCTCCAAATTCTGAAAGTTCTGAGCACCAACCAGACACCAGAGATGGACAAGTCCTCACCATGAAGCCATGTGATGGACAAGGTATGTCACTAGTGGACCAGTCGTCTTCAGGCTCCGTACAGAGCATACGAGAAATGGCTGACCTTGGTTTAGACTTGAGTCCACCCCAAGATATCCATCGCGTATGTATGCAAAAACGAATATCCCAGAATCCAGAACAATCCAAAGTCCAAAACACTCTGGTACCAAGAATTCCCAGTAAGGGATCCTCAGCTGTATCCCTTCCCTTCCAGATCAGCCAATTGGAGGTCAAGTAGGAGAGGACTCAACCCTGCCAGAGGTCTTTCTCCACAAAGACATACACCTACACCTTCGTTTTCCACAAGGAGCCACACTGTGCACACTCTGTGATAATGTCTTTACTGAATCCTACCACAGTTTGTCTTTCTAGATCCACACATAAAAGTCTCCTCCCCATTTTAACAGTTACATAGCAGCCTACTGCATGTTATGCATGAGAGGGAGGAGGAAGAGGGGGAGGAGGAAGAGAGGGAGGGG